TGCAATTTTTTCTAAAATATTTTATTTTTCCACAAGGTATGTTAAGAACATTGTGTCAAACGGGTTATGTAGGTATAAGGGTTTAAACTTTGACTTTTAAACAACGTTACGTTCATAAATAATAATTTTAATATAAAAACTACTTCTTACCTACAAATCCAAATCAGAATCGAAATCAGAAGATGAAGTGTCGCAACCAATATTTACAATGAGTAGCTCGATCATTTCATCAGTAATATTGTCCAACTTCCACATTTTCTCTTCTTTAATCGTATGATTTACTGCCTTTTCCCAATTTTCAGGCTTCACATTATTTACATCCTCCAAAAACAACTGTTTAACATCACTCATTTTAAAAGAATTATTTTTTCTTGAAACTTCTCCCTTTATCTGTGCCCATATCAGTTCAATCGGGTTTACTCCGCAATGATATGGTGGTGATCTAACCACCGTCATCCCACGATTTTTTGCAATTTCATCAATTTCATATTTTTTGAATTTCTCTTTATGAAGGGAACACAAATGATACAGTTCTTTTCTCACAGAACCGGGATGGAACTTAATATTCTTTGAATTTAGCCAATTCTGTAAATCTTTTTTTAACCACTTGGTTGTTGGCATTTTTTCTATAAGTCTCGAGTGATAACTTGCATTATCCATTACTATTATACAATTCTGAGGAAGAAGATCTATAATTTGTTCGAACCACTCGTTAAAGACATCAGCATTCATGTCCTCATGGTAGTCACCGGTACGAGTAGATTCAAAAGTCAATAAACCACTTTTAACAAAACCGTTTGAACTACCGATGTGTACTATTATTAGTCTGCGCCCCTTTCCTGATGGTGGATTTAAACCAGTAGATAAATTATTTAAAAAAGCCTGTCTTCGACTTGTAACAGTTTCATCTTGCCAAAATTTATTTGGTTTATGTTCCTCGTTGATCCATGTTTCATCTAAATAAAATATATTTCTTCTTTGGTTTCTCATTTCTTTTATAGTCCTTAGGTAATTTTTTCTCCATACTACAATATCGCTTCTTTCTAATAAAATAGACTTTCTGGAATGCTTTTTCCATAGGAAACCTATTTATTTTAAAAGTTTCCATAGTGTGCTTCGACTCATTTCAGGGTAATCCTTATCATCTCGAACCGTGGCAAGAACTTTGTCTACTGTCGGAAATTCTTTTCTAAAGAAGAACGCATGCACTTTCCTTCGAAGTCTTTCTTTCAAAAGATTTTCTAATTGAAATTTTGGTTTTCCTGGAGCTTTACGTGCTGTTTGAAACTCGCCACATTTCTCTTCTTTAACAACTCTGTAAATCGTAGATTTCCCAACACTAAGCGTACTACTAATTCCATTGTGTCATCAACACTTTTACATAAATGTCTGTAAATGATTTAAAACAATTAAATATTAATGTTTTTTCATTAACTGTTAAAGGACCGATTTTTTGTCGTTTACGCGGCCCTTCCAAATTTTCCATGATCACACTAGAATTCACACTGCACCTTGCAAGTTGCAACTAAACGACATTTAGTAAACTGTTAAAAATACACAACTTGGACCTCCTTACTAAATGGAAAACCTATAATCGCATTTTCGGTGAAATTTGTTGGGAAGGTATTTATCTACTTATAATTCGATTACTGTAAGAAATTCTTGGAATTAAAATAAAACAAAATTGGCAAATAGGTACTTATTGAAAATAATCTTAAGATACGGCTATGTAATTTTTAATACACAGGGCTTTTGGCCTGTCCAAACCTTTTTCTATTGTTCTGTACAGCTTATGTTTATAAAGGACCAATAAAAGACCCAAAACTTGTAATAGCTAAGGTACATTTATTACAATTTTAGGAAATATTTAGATTATTCTGTAAAAATATTTAAAATGACCGTACTAAGTTTTGCATTAGAAATGCTGTTTTATTACTCTCTCATACATAAAAATAGAAGAGTACGTATTATTAATTATGTTACCAATAAATGTCATAACGAGCTCCTTGTGGGATTGAGATAAGACAGATATAGCCTGGACAATATCAGATTCAAGTTTTTTCCCCAAATCTCTTCTATTGACGTTGGATGTAGAAGGCTTTGGTTCTGGAATTCTACCATTAGGATTTATGAGGCAGTCGTCGAGTGCTTTTTTATCGAAACTTCTTTCTTCAGGTCTTCTACGTTTAATAGTTGATGATCGAGTTATTTGCATAGAAGTTATTTGACTGTAGGTATTGTGTCTCTGTGAAGTATTAATGAGAGCTGTTCTTCTTTCGTGAATGTTAATAGAATTGGTATTTAGAGAATCGTTATTTAAAGTAGGGAAGTCATTTATATTATGCATGTACATAGTATTAGTTTTTCTTGGAGTCATCTGACTTGCTTCATAATATGAGATGTTTGAAAATGACATTAATTTTTGATATCTTGTCTGCTGTATTCAGGACATTTTTTGTCATTAGAAGAGTGTTCATTATTATTACAAGTTTCTGTACCGATTTCGTGGATTTTCCGCAGATTTTGAATTTTGCATTACTGCTGCATTGCTTAATATTATGACCATATAAGAGGCATTGTTGGCATTGAAGAACAGGGCTTATATAAGGAGTTACTTTCATTGGTAGGCCATATATAGTTATTTCTTTTAGTATAATTTTTCCAGAGAATGTTACACAAATCGTTCCAGTTGGAATATAATTTGGTTGCTGAATCCCAGTCCTCATCATTGTATTATACGCCGACACTCGAACGGCGGATAACTATTGAAATGTTATAAAGAGTTTCTAGAAACTTTGAAACACACTATACATAACAATTTTGGGTCCGCTGACACTTATTTAAAAAAAATTTTTACCTTAAAATCCTTAAAATTTGTTGTCGGGTCTCCATCATAAAACAAATGTGAAATAAACCATTTTCACTGATTTCTTGTTGAAGGCTAAATATCAATATAAGACCATTGATAGAGCAATAAACCCTTCCAAATTTTTTCATAAACGATCAAATTTTCTTATTTTTAATATGTTAGAAAAACAAACATTAAATTATTTTCAATGACAATTGATGTGTCTAGTTTCTATAAATGCGGTTTTGCCAAATCGAGTAAGAAAACATATAAGTCAGGAAATAATTCAGTTAGTGAAAGTTGGCTGAAAAATTACATAGTGTCTGGCCAGCAGGTAAATTTGGATCTCGAAGTGAAAACATTTGTAGTAATTACAGACAACCGTCTTTTTATTTCATTTCATGATGATTGTACGTTAATTACGGCATGTCAGTACTTATCAAATATTAAAAAAAAATCAATTTGAGCTGGCTATTTTGTCTTCCACAATCCAATATTGCCATTCCAAACGGCTTGAAAAAAGTTTGTACTAGAACAAATAAAAAAACAGTAAAAGTAACAATCTGAACTAAATCAATATAAAAATCAAATGTGAGACATGAATACAAAAAGTACAGTGACTATTACTTCCCTGACTAGGCTGTTTTTGTCTTTAACGATGCAATACTACTGCCACTCCAAACGGCTTGAAAAAGTTTGTACTAGAACAAATAAAAATACAGTTAGATCGCTGCGTGCACCAAGAACTTTAAACATATCTTCAACATGTTTATCACATACTAAATAGTTTTTACAAATTTGTTGTTTTATTCTTGAAAAATGGACTGGGAACACCCAATACTCAAATTTGAAATAAATCGTTATTAGGATTTAAGAGTGTTTACAAAACAATTTGGCATACAACAATACGATATATTACAGCTTTTATAACTAAAAATGACCACAAAAATTTAAAATAAGCTCAATCGTCAGCAAGATCAAGTAAACAAATTGAACATTTAAAACACAATTGAACAAGATCAAGTTGACAATACAATAAACAATTATTTACAAAATACTTACTATTTATTCATCCAGGATCCAGAGCACACCCAAATACAAACAAATAATAATTATTGACAATATGATATTGATAATCACAAAAAATACAGGTAAAATGGCAAATGTCATTCACCGCGAGGTAATCGATAATGGATGCCTGACAATGACAAATGACACTCCCACTCTTTCCACCATCAATTGTAGATTTCTGTAAATTGTTGTGTACAGCGCCATCTAGAATCTGTTCTTTGAAACAAAAATTTAGTTTCAGCTCGGGCTATACCAGTTACCGATACCTGCAGGGTTATTCTACTAAATTTATAGCCCGGCTACAAGTTGGATTTTGGCTTGAACTTGATATGTTCCTAATTTCAAAATCCAACTTGTAGCCGGGCTATAAACTTTTAGCCGGGCTATAAATTTAGTAGAATAACCCTGCTGGTGGGAACTGGGAAACTATCAACTGCAACGGACTCGGAAGGGGTAAAATGAAGCTAATTGAACAAGAGTTCACTGAAGCTTTTTGTAATTAGGCAGAAAATTACGAAAATTACTAACAAACGATGTGATTACTACTGTCAGTTTGACTTTTTCATGTTTGGTATTTTTCGTGAAAAACGTTTATGAACACACAAATAGCGTTTTCAACTGGTCACACTCAGTTCATACTCGTGAAGTGCGAGTTTTCGTTGCTCAGCACTGGTTCATTTTAGTGACGTCATACAAATTTATTCCAACCGAACACGCAGTTGACCACCCAGTGCATTGTATTGTATTTGACAGCTATCATCTGAGTGATAAGTAGAAGTAGGTAATACTTAGAGGTAATACCTTCCAAATTTCAAACAAGATATTTAATATTGTCTATAGAATATTTTATCAACAGATTAACACAAGGGCGTCGATAAATTTTATTCTTGGGGGGGGGGGTAAAATATTTTTGCTGTAGATAATGAAAAAAAATCATTCTGTAATAAAGTACAAACATATATTTACAAACAAAACAAAACTTCTTTGGACAAAAAAACACAAATCATAAAATAAATGTCTATTATATAAAAAAAACAACACTAACATTCTTTGGCAAGTACTTAGTAAAAACAGGATATATTTATAAAATCAAATCTATATGCCTCTTTTTAATTTTGGCAAATCTATCTAGAACAGCATCTATGTTTAAATCTATATGTAGCAGTGCTAAGGCCACTAACCTTTCTTGGCCCATGGTTGACCTAAGCCACGTTTTCAACCTTTTAAGAGTTGAAAAACTTCTTTCGGAGCTTGCTACATTCACAGGCATGGTAGAGATTAAATACACAGCCAAGTACACATTTTGATAAGTATCCTTATCGCAAAGCTGTAAAGCAGATATGGCCGAACTAGGAAGATTTTCATCAGTGACAGTTACCCATTTTTTAAACCAAAGTTCAAACTCGGCATTTAAGAGAGACAATAAAAAATCTTTGCTTTCGTTCGTGAAATTTGATAAATATTCTGCTACGTTTTCTTTTATTAAAGAACAATCCATATTCATATCCAATTTGATATTTGATGGAATTAAACTATTTATATTAAGAATTTTGTACAATTCATTATGAAATCGAAATGTAAGATCTTCAATCACGTTGTCTAAAAGAGGAATAAAAATACTTCTTCTGAAGTATTCTTCAATAGAATCTCCTGGAGTATTAACTCGATGTTTTTGCCTTAGGGTAATTCGAGGCATCATCAAATTTAAGTTCATTTTTTTGTGAAGATTTTTTACGTCTTTAAATATCCCGGAAAAACAAGAATCAACGTTTTTTCTTTTTTCATTTAGTAAAGAAAGAATATCGTTAACTAAGGTTTGTGCTTTATTTTTGTCAAGTGATTTGGTTTGTAAGAGTTTGCTTAGGCTATTCGTTAAACTTAGAAAATAAGACAAGCAGTGTAAAGATATCATAAATTGTGTTGTTAAAAGAGAATCTACGAACGAACGTACTTTGGATGAACTGTCTTTATCATTCCACTGGGCAATTAATTCCCAAGTTTCAATTATCTTCTCAAAGCATGATTGAAATCTTAATACGGTATCATGGCGCTCGGCCCAACGAGTTTCGCATAAACTTATTAATTCTTTATTGTTAACTAACTCGAGAACTTTTGCTCTTTTAGGAGAAGCTTTAAAAAAATTTATTATTTCCTTTATTATACCAACACAATTTCTAATATCTTGTACCGTACTTGCTTTTGAGATTGATAGATTTAGGGAGTGATTATAACACGGACACTTGACCGCATTTTTCATCGATTTTTGGACTTGTGAAACAGCACCCTTTTGTTCCGACAACATGACACTGCAAGTGTCAGTACCTATGCCCACACAATTTTCAAAAGGTAAACCCAATTTTTCAATGAATGATATCACAGTATTCCCGAGAATTTCACCTGAAAGTTTTGGCTCTTTGGTACATTCATCATAGTTTTCTGTATGACAGTCAACAAACCCAAGAAAGTCCTCCCTTAAGTTAAGACTGTTATCTAAATACCTTATTACAATCGACATTTGAGAAATATTACTGATGTCTGTCGTTTCATCAAACATTATACTAAAGTATTTAGATTTATTGACTTTTTCAACTATAAGCGACAATATTTCTTCCCCACAGCATTTAATGAGTTCATTTTGAATAGAAACACTTACATATTTGGTTCGCGAGGAGGCCGATTCGAAGTGATTTTTTAAAATAACATCATCACCAGATGTTTGTATACGATACCTTAAAATTTTTTTGAGATTTCCTTCATTTACATCCGACGAATCGGTTAACTCAGATTTAGTTAAATGACCTCTTAAAGGAATATTTTGTTTTCCTAAAAAATGTATTGTTCCTAGAAGAGCTTTAATTTTTTTTCGATTTTGTTCGATGCGCTTGACATTTAAAATATTTACAATCTCCCGATCCCGGTTTTCATAAGTATTTTTAAAATTGTCAGAAAGAAGCATAGCATCTTTGTGATAGGAACAATCGTTATGACGAGTTAGATCACCGTCTTTTCCATAAAGTTTTGAATATTTTTGTAATGGACTAAATACAAGTTTTTGAAGCCCCGTGGCCTTATGAATACCACCAAATTTGGCAAATAGAACACAACACTTACAAAACAAACCATTTAAACTTTTAGAATATGTTAGCCAAGCAAAGGAAGAAAAATGATTTTGAGACAAGTAGCACTTAACATCCTTTTTGTTTTTAGAATGGACAGAGTAAGGAAAAGTGTAACTTTTTTCAGGAACGAAAGCTTTTTTTAAGATTTGATATTTGTCAAAATCTGATATATTGACCTTATCATTGACATAATGCCCAATATCAATTTCACCTGATCCAGTCCTGGTCAAATTTTGAGCATTTTGCACCTCCAATGATGTTGATGTAGAACTACTACCAATACTAATGGAAGAATTGGAATTAGTGGCTTTTTCATGCAATCCAGAACTGAACTTTTCACTTTCTTCCGGAACGCTGCCAAAGATGCTATCGACTTTATTTTTTTATTAAGAAACGCATCTAAGGTCTGCAAACCCCGTTTACTCATTTCAACTTATACAATCTGCAATAAGTTTAATAAACAAAAATTAATAAACAAAAATATGGTAATGCACTTTTAATCTTACCTGCCTGCTTTACTGTTTATTGTTTCTTGCGTATTTATTTATTGGTAATGCGATTATAAAATACAATACGAACAAGACCACACAGTATTACCATATGTATTACATACAATATATTAATTATTAAATAAAGTATAAGTATGTCGACAATAGGTAGCCACTACCACACACAATACTTATTTTTCTATGCACAATACCTACTCAATTTTAAATGCAGAAACACAAAGCGGAATGCTCACAACGACAAAGCGACGCGAATGAGGCGCTGACCGCTGGAACAGAGACTCCCACCAGTCCCTTCCTTCTCGATAATTACGTCACAGAGTACCTAAATAATATGTACTCTGTGGTTACGTCAAGTTACGTTGAGCAATAGGGAATGGGACTGTGTTGTGTTGAGTGAGACTGCATAAATGTGCAACAACGATGAGAATAAGATCAACGATATCCAATAAAACATTCAAGTATATGTACAATGGACTTGGACATGTTAATTATTAAATTTAATTTAAAACCAGAAATTTACTAATTAGTATTCTTGGGGGGGGATGGGGGGTAGTTACCCCCATATCGACGCCCTTGGATTAACATAAACTTACTAATGTTTAAGTTTTTAAGATGTCAACATATACTAAGTATATACAGGAATTACAATATCTACCTGGGGCCATCCAGGTGCGACACCACTGATTCATTGTAATATTTTATTTGAAAACCTGTCTCTACACTCGGTTCATAAAAGTGCGCACCGGTTAATTTTTTTTGAGTTCAACTGATTTCACCCGAAAATTCAAAAACTGATTCGGTTCGCACTGCTCTTACGAGTCGAAAACAAATTTTGCACCGAGTGTTAAAAAGTGCGCACCAGTTTCACCAGTCGAAAACGCTATCATTCAGCGCCAGTGACCATGGGCGTCGTTACACAATTCTATAGGGGGGGTGGGGGGCAAAATTTTGAAAAAATTTATTATGTTTTTTTATTGAAAAACAAAGAAAATTAAACATAAAAGAGAATTTTCTTATGATGGATTTAATTATTCTGTGACGTCATGGCTTACTTCCGGTTTTTCCAGAAATCCACAATTTATTTTTTATTTTTAAATGAAAACCCTTTTTCTTATTGAAAATTTGAATTTCTGGTACATTTTTGTAAAAGAAGCGTGTCTTGAAAATTTTTTCAGTAACATATTAAAAAAAATATGTTCCAATATGATGATCATTTTGACAGTTGACCAAAAATTTTCAAAACATGATTCTTATCCATGAATGTCCCTAAAATTTAAATGTTCAATAAAAACGGGGGTTTCTATTTAAAAATTAAAAATAAATTGAGATTTTGTTATTTCGATGGAACAGAAGTAAGCCATGAAGTCATACACCAATTGAATCCAGTATATGAGAGTATTTGTCCCAAGCTTTTAAACAAATAAGTTTTCATTCCAGTATCTCAATTAACAACGAAGATAAAAGCGGATAGAATTATTAAACGGTTTGCTAATAATAAAAATGCTTAGATACGCCATTGGCATACGGTAAATGGGTCTCAATGGGAATTTTAAAGCCTAAAAAGATTATTATACAAAAATGTCCCAGAAATTTAAATTTGCAATAAAAAAGAGGGTTTCCTTTTAAAAATAAAACAAAAACTGTTATTGTTGGAAAAATCGGAAGTAAGCCATGACGTCACAGTACAATTGAATCATCATAAGAAAGTCTTTCAAACAGAACAAAATTAATCCAATATCTCACTGAATAGCGAAGCTAAGGGGGAGTGGAACTGTAGTTAGTAACCCTAACAATGTCACTGACTTATTTGACAGAACTGATACTTAAGTTGTCATAACAAGTCTCTAATAAATTAAATAATCCAACAAAAAAAGACAAAATAAAAGTATATGGATTTATAAAACAAGTGAAAAAATTATTAATATTATTATTACATATTTTTATTACTTCAGCTAAAAAAAGTAGTATAACCAATAAAAATCAATAATAAAACATAGGTAGGTATTTACGAGAAAATGTATGAGATCTTGCCTAAGCCTAATAAATTGTCATTGAAGAATAGGTTAAATAATGTCAAAATAAAAACACTACTATTATATAATAACGTAGAATTAAAACGTATTAACAAAAATAATTGGTAAATTTGCGATTTTAATTTATATTTTTTTCATTTTTAGTTCGAAAGAACCCATAGAAATTAATGATTAAAACTGGTTTCCTATCAATACGTCATAATATTGCATTTCAGCCATATACAATAATTAAAGGCAGAAATCTAATCATTTGCTAAACATTTAAGAATTAAGGGATGTTGAAGAATATCATAAAATAATAATTTATTGTTTATTTAAAACCTTTTCTGATGTCTATTATTTCCAGTATTACTGTTATTATTACAAAAATAAAGGTTTTTTTTTCTTATTATACAGCTGTCTATTTATTTTTTGATTTAATTTTGATTTTGCTACTGAAAATTTATATAATTTACAGTTTTTTTGCTAGTATAATTTGCAACATAGCAACTCCGGTTGCTCATTTTATTGTTTTTAACCTATTTTTTAGTAAAAAGTAAAATGTATACGTGTATTTGATACGCCAAAATTACAAAATATCGCCCTAAACTACTCGAATTATCCGCAGCTTGCGCTAGTATCGCTTTTGCTTTCCTACACTATGACTTCGCACTGATCGAATAGATCGCAGCTATGTTTTAACATGCCTTAGCGTGCTAAACGCTCTTTCGATGAACTCTGTCGTTGGTGGAAGAGCCATAAATATTTTTTAAACCACTTTGTATGTCTGGATAAAATTCACAATGTTTGGATGCTATATCATTAATGGAGAGCTCATTGTGTGTAGAAAGCTCTTTCGTACTCCAGTTTGGTATTCAGCTTCAAAATTGTCGATTTTCTAATCGGTAGCGATAAAAGTATTGTTTTTATGCTTTTGGGATGTAACAGGCTTAAGAAAAATTAACAGAGTCTTTGGAAAAGCGTGATGTAAGCGACGTAATAAGGAAATCCAGATATCGTCGGCCTAAGATGCAAATGGCCTAACTCCACTTTTTACCAAAGGTACGTTTTATTGGCTACACTAACGGGTACTGTCGATTCGAAATGGCCTGCCAAGCCTATTTTAAATATTCGCGCCAAAAATTACATGACTCATTTTGTATAATCCCTTTACATTAAGGTTATGTATAAAAGATTTTTTGCGTTTCCTCAAAAATTTATATTTTAGGAGTTAGGCCATTTGCATCTTAGACCGACAATATTCAATAAATATATTCAACCTATAATATTCTTCAACTATATTAGCCTTAATATTATTATTTCTATATGAGATTGTTGTTCGTATGCATAATCTTACGCGTTGTTGATTAAGTCACTAAAAGCCAGGGGGGGGGGGCAACTGCCCCCCCCCCCCCAAACGACGCCCATGTCAGTGACAATAAATTTCGCACTACATTGAGTGGATAAAGGAGACAATTGTCGAGAAGTGTCAACAAAAAGACGACATCTGTTGGATAAAGGAGGTACCTGCACGTTTTAGCGAATGAAGGGGACAAGTGCGGTTAGTTACCTCCTTTATTCATTACTAAGTTTAAAATTTTTGTCAGATACCTCCTTTAAAAACTGTGATTTCTCTTTATTTTAAATATTTTCATATTGAAGTGGCTGCTAAGTGAAAGAATGTCACTTACATGGGCGTCGTTTGGGGGGGTAAGATGTCGTCTTTTTGTTGACACTTCTCGACAATTGTCTCCTTTATCCACTCAATGTAGTGCGAAATTTAATGTCACTGGCATGGGCGTCGTTGGGGGGGGGGGGGGGGGGGGGGCAGTTGCCCCCCTGGCTTTTACGACCTAATCAACAACGCGTAAGATATGCATTACGAACAACAATTTCATAGAAATAATAATATTCAGGCTAATATAGTTGAAGAATATTATAGGTTGAATATATTTATTGCATATCTAGATTCCCTTACGTCTTACATCACGCTTTTCCGAAGACTCTGTTAGTTTTCTGCATACAATGAGCTCTCTCCATAAATGATATAGCATCCAGACATTGTGAATTTTATCCAGACATACAAAGTGGTTTAATAGGTATTTATGCAACCAGTGCAAAAAGTAAGTGTGCAATAAACACTTTTTGCACAAGTTACATACAATATTTTTTCTACGTTCATGCAAAAACTAAAAAATGTTTTATAGAACTGCAGTTGTATTATCCAAATCATAGTAGCCGCGATCGTGTATCTTTGTTTGAGTCATTTATTAACGTTTGTGTTTATAATTTCTAATGATATTTTTAATAAAATACATTTTTTATTAATTTATTTATTAAATTATTGAAAATAATATAATATATGCAATTGTTTTTAAAACGTAATGCAATCTCACAGAAAATGAAAATGGACTAAATATTTGAATATTTATGTTTGTCATGATCATAAAACGCTGTAGTAAAATGACAGATGAGTTCAATAAAATTTTTATTGCACTAGTGCAATAAAGAACCAGTTTTTTCACTAAATATAGTTCAATAAAGTTTTGTTTTTTGCATGAACGTAGAAAAAAATTATTTATGGCTCTTCCATCAACGACAGAGTTAATTGAAAGAACGTTTAGCACGCTAAGGCATGTTAAAACATGGCTGCGGTCTATTCGATCAGTGCGAAGTCATTATAGGGGAAGTAAAAGCGATATTAGCGCAAGCTGCGGATAATTAGAATACTTTAGGGCGATATTTTGTAATTTTGGCGTATCAAATACACGTATACATTTTACTTTTTTCTAAAAAATAGGTTAAAACAATAAAATGAGCAACCGGAGTTGCTATGTTGCAAATTTTACTAGCAAAAAAAACTGTAAATTATATAAATTTTCAGTAGCAAAATCGAAATTAAATCAAAAAAATAAATGGACAGCTGTATAATAAGAAGAAAAAAACCTTTATTTTTGTAATAATAACAGTAATTCTGGAAATAATAGACATCAGAAAAGATTTTAAATAAACAATAAATTATTATTATTTTATGATATTCTTCAACATCCCTTAAATCTTAACCCTCTTTTTTATTGTAAATTTAAAATTCTGGGACATTTTTGTATAATAATTGTGTATTGACAATTTTCTGGTAGCTGTCAAAACGGCCGCCATATTGGATAATATGAAAATTTGAATTTTAGGGACATTTATGGATAAGAATCACGTATTGAACATTTTCTGGCAGCTGTCAAAATGACCATCACATTAAAAAATATTTTTTTTAATATGTTACTGATAGAAATTTTTCAATACACGCCTCTTATACAAAAATGTACCAGAAATTCAAATTTTCTATAAGAAAAAGGGTTTTCATTTAAAAATAACAAATAAATTGCGATTTTCTGTTATTTCTGGAAAAACCGGAAGTAAGTCATGACGTCACAGAATAATTAAATCTATCATAAGAAAATTCTTTTATTTTTCATTTTCTTTGTTTTCCAACAAATAAACATTCTAAATTTTTTCAAAACTTTGCCCCTCCCTATAGAATTGTGTAACGACGCCCATGGTCACTTACCCCCTTTATTCATGAAAATAAGTCGATTTTGACCAAAATGTTACTTACCTCCTTTATCCACTCGACTCTTCCAATTGTTTTGTCAAATTCCACTCGGAATAGGCCACTTCAATTTCATGTGCCACAAATACACGATGTAACATCTGATACATATACATTTTTTTAAATAAAAATTAAAACATTTTAAGTGGATTTTGTAAATATTTTTCCCATGTTCTTAGGTAAAAACTACATAAGAAAAATATTTTTTAGATAAAAAAAAAGAAAAATGCGCATTGTAGGGTTAAGTTATACTTTTTATACCTACTAAACTATCGTTGCCCCGCAAGTCTTTCAGTTTGTAATGTAAATTCTCCTCTTAGGCTGAATGTAGTTCTTCATGAGTAAATGTAGTTGTTACGGTTTGTATTCTCGTGCAAATTGGATTTTATTTTTATTTTGGATACTAGAAGGACATGTTTAATTAAAAATATAAAAACGAGTAAAATATTTTGAAACTCTTAAACTGGATTGATCTAAGCCTGGCTATAAGCAAGTTATAAGGTGTCGGGATTTATTCTGTTAAAAAAATGTTTCTTGATTATATTTTATTTACTTAGTGATTTATATAAAAAGTCTGAAAAAAAGTTTTGCGATTCAAACATAATAAAAGTTTGAAACAAAATACAAAACATCCCACCTAATATTACCTTTATTAGTAAATATACTACATTTATGTTAAAAGTGAATTAATGGTTACGAAAATAATAAAAAATGGACCGAAATCTTATAATTGGACGTAAAATCCAAATATCAGATCTCGGACCTCTTAACCTAAATAAAATCTTTCCTCTATTGACGCATCTATCTACAATGCGACTTTTATAAAAACAATGAATTACAGGAATTGACACAAACACAAAACCTAATTAACATAATTCGAACAAAAAATGTTAAAGCATCTTAAAAAATAACAAATTACACAATGAAATGTAAAAAGAGTGTTAGTTGATGAGACCCTTAGCCTTAAAGAGATCACGCATCAGCCCTTTCAAGTACTTAATTTCGCGATTCAAATCAGTAATCTTGCTCCCCAAATCTGTATTCTTATCCAGCAGATCTTTCTCAACCAGAAGTATCGTTTCTATCTCGGCCTTCTTCTTCATACGGTACCTCGTAGCTGCATTCTTGTTTTGTTCCTTCTTACGAACCTTCTTCTCTTCCGGAGGATGCTTTGAATAAGGTCGCGATCGCTTTCTGGATAGCTTGGGCGAGCTACCATCGCCGTAGTCCTCGATGGGTTCTGGAACCCATTCGGGATCATCAGAAGAGCAATCTTCGAAGCTGCTGCTTGGTGATCTAGGACTACTGCATCCGCTACTACTACTGCTGCTGCTGCCTTGCATGTGTTCTACGCGGGTTCTTACTAACTCATCTACAACCGCCAGTTCATGAGCGATATCAGGTTGAGGTGTATTAACCGATGCGTAGACTACTTGTTCAGTTAGGGCATAGTTATCAGATAGAAATTGCTTTTCGGGTTGCGCGTAGATGGGCTTCGCGTCGCCAGGAACGGTTGCGGAGTATTGAAGAAGCGGTTCCAAGGTTGTTAGCATGGGCTGCTGGCTGGGCGGACTTTGAGGAGGTGTTAGAGTGCCATGAGCAAATTCGACGACATCGTAAACGGTTTCGAACTCTTTGAGGAGGTACTGGGTATCGTTGTTGTTCACGTTTACGTATTCTGACTTCAGGTGTTGGACGGGTACGGGAACAGCTCTAGGTGGTTCCACATCGTCAAGTATTGGTAGCATTTTTTCGTCGAGAAGAAAGGGTTCTGAAAAGAAAAAAATAGACAATTAGAATATTATTAAAATATGTGTATCAGAAAATACCGAAAATGGTACTATATTTTCGTTCGCAACTAGAATCTTTTTTTTTTGTTTTTTATTAGTTTTTTATTAATTTTTATTGATTATTATTAATTTTGATTAATTTTCACTAATTTATATTAATTTTTATTAATTTTTAATAATTTGTATTAATTTTTATTGATTTTAATTAATTTTAATTAATTTTTAATGATTTTAATTCATTTTCATTAATTTATATTAATTTTTAATAATTTTTAATTTTTATTAATTTGTATTAATTTTAATTAAATTTAATTAATTTTAATTATTTTAATTAATTTTATTTAATTTTCACGAATTTATATTAATTTGTACTAATATTCACGAATTTATATTAATTTTAATTAATTTGTACTAATTTTGATTAATTTGTACTAATTTTTTATTAATTTTTATTAATATTAATTAATTTTTATTTTTTTTAAATATTTTTAATAAGTTTTATTAATTTTTAATATATTTTATTAATTTGTATTAATTTTTAATAGTATTTATTAATTTGTACTAATTTTGATTAATTTTCACGAATTTATATTAATTTGTACTAATTTTCACGAATTTATATTAATTTTTAATATATTTTATTAATTTGTATTAATTTGTTTTAATTTTTAATAGTTTCTATAGATTTTAATTAATTTTTATTAATTTGTACTAATTTTGATTAATTTTCACGAATTTATATTAATTTTTAATGATTTTTTATTAATTTTTATTATTAATTAGTTTTTTATATTTTTTAATAGTTTTTAATAAATTTTAATTAATTTTCAGTAATTTATATTAATTTTTAATGATTTTTATTAAATTTAATTAATTTTTATTAATATTAATTTTTTTTTAATAATTTTCATTAATTTTAATTAATTTTTAACAATTTTTATTTTTTATTTAAGCGTTGGAAACGTTCATTTTTTGATGTCGTTTATGATGACCTTGTTTTTTTACGTTTTGGCGATTAGACCAGTTTTAATTCGAAAATAATAAAAATTAATCGATAATCAGTTTTACACTGAGAGAGCCAATACTTTTGGACACTTCATTTCATGATTTTTGTCAACGTATCATCACCTAAAATAAGTACATTTTAATATTTACATATTGGCACTAACCAAAAACCACAATTAATTGAAAGTAGAGGTAGAATGATCGAATTTGATACAATTAATGAAAAATTATCTACTGTTGAACTGAATTATAGATTAAGGATTAATGAAAAACATAAGGATTTTTATGAAATAGTAATGAGGGTTTTAAATGAGGTGGAACTGTAACCTACCGCACCCAGGTGCCTTAATAATTTATTGATTCCATTTATTAAATATATTAAATTCAAAATCCTTTATTTAACGAAAAATCTCCTAGATAATTAAATCTTATTTACGACACCTAATAAATAATATCTATAACCACGTCCGTAAAAGATCCAAATTTCGTGCAAGTGTCTAGGAAACCGACCTGAAACGACTATAAAACATATTCCTTTTCAAGAAGTAATCATCATTAAAACACATAACTCGCTTATCTTTCTAGTTTCGATGTTAAGACCAATTTCGACAATATTTTGATACACGAAGCTCTCAAGGCACATAATTAATTTACCACCCACTTATCTTTCCGCCCTAATTCGTTTTTGCTGGGAACTAAGACATACAGAGATGTCACAAAAAGCCATTAAAAACTGTTATAAGAACCCAGACCCAAATAAGCTCAAATTCATTTTATTATTTTACATTCAAGCAATCACTTTATTATTTGTATCCAGTTATATAGTCTGTACCTTTCCTAAAACGCTCTTCCTAAACGACATCTATCCTACAATACCCCGAAGGTGTCAACGTCTCGACGCCCAACGTCCTGCCGTCCTACTTATCTATCTTTCTACGCTATCACTTCTAACACCACTTTAGTATTTCCTACCATTATATTCATCCCGTCGCTCAACGTCCAGACGCCTTACTTTCCTACCAATCTACTCTCGAACGCTGTCACATTCGGCATCATCTAAGTATTTCCTACTTTACATTAATTCCGACGCTCTACTTTTCAGGAGACAAATACCAAATTAACCCACGACAAATGTTTAAGCTATGACAATTACTGATTACAAAAACACCACAAACCCTTAATAATGCCTCTCTGGCAAGGAGTGAGGGCTGCTATATTTAGCCTAACCATAAACATTAAATGACTTCGTATAAAATAAGTGTAAAATAAGTATCACCATATGCCCTGCAGGTAAGTCTGAAAGCCGACTCAAAACACTCGGGAATTGTGTTTTTATTTTCAAGTTTCAAATGCAATGCTCTATTTCTCGACGCTTGCCGCCCCTAAATATGTCCTTCATAATATTCTTGTCGACACCCTTCGTCACGTCCCTCATCACCTAAATATTTCTACCGTATATCTGTTCCAATGCAGTACCATATTAAATACCTTCCTCTCCATCACGACGCTAGGCGCCTCGACGCAAGGCGACGCTCAACGCTGCGACGTACCTAAATCGACGCCGTCACAACGCTAGATGAATTTAGTACATAATCTAATGTCTGTATTTTTAATGGTGAGTCAAAAGATTTATGTAACTTTCTTTGAGATACCACCGAGGTCGTTAAGACGTGGGCTTCAAAAAAATATTAACAATGTAACCAATAAACCATATGGCTTTCAGTCGTTCACCCCGAAAGAGAGTTAGGTTTTTTTTGTTTATAGCCTAGGTATATAAATCTAATATGCCAGTCTCAGTTTGTTTTTTTTTTTACATTCTTAATCATGTGTGTTCTGTGTAGGCTTTGTTACTGTTTCCCAGTGCCACTTCAGGAACACCACTGTTAATTAAAACCCAGCAGTGAATGGTCGAGTGGGAGAGTTAGGTTATCCATATACATATACAGGGTTGTATTAAGTTATTTCAATAGATATTATAATAATCAATACAAGAAATATACAGGGATGTGTTATCTTGGATAAATTGTACAAACCAAGATGGTAAAATTTAATAGTAAGTTAACCAACTGGTGAATACACTGTTCGTTAGCTCAAGGGGGGACACTTATATGCTAAGCCACCCATTTTACAAGGTTTATAACAAAATATATGTGAAATCAACATAGTAAGGTAACCAACTGGTGAATTGGCGCTGTTCGTTACTTCCGTTGGTCATCACCTCTGTACTCGTCGAAATATTTACCTAAGAGGGTATCTAGGGTACCTAGGTGTATCTAGAATAGAATCAAATCAATATCAACACAGCAGTTAACCAACTGGCGAATTGGCGCTGTTTGTTAACCCCGTTGGTCATCAACGTAAATAAAAAATATATTGATAGCAAATGAACGTGGCATCCGTTTGAATGGGATAATAATAATAATAATAATAATAATAATACTCTCCCTAATTCACCCCCTTACGAGTGAATTTTAACCCCAAAAGCTGAGCTTGGCGGGGAAAGGGGCGGCTAATATTATTATTTGCCGTGGCGCTCCGGGGCGACTAGTGTTGTGTCGACAAATTTACTAGTTTGCAGTTATTATGAGTAGATTTAGATAATTATCTTTTGTCTTTCCCTATGTGCTTATGTGTTGGAATAATTGTCAGGTAATGTGTTTGTCAACTTATATTTTAACGCTTTGCTGGATTTAGTTGGAAAGCCGAAAAGTCGGCCATTTGTTTTTTTTTAATTACCATCATGCCTACGAGTGCCGGTTGTTATTATTGTTTTATTTTATTTTATATAGATTTATAGCTACCCTACCTAAAAATATTTTTAAGCTTTCTTTGATATATACGCGGGGAGGAAACTAAATAATTGAATTCAAGTTAGTCTGGAAATACAGTTTAAACGGAAATTTGTGGCTCTTAACTTATTTTGGCCTTATAAATAGTTTTAATTTTGTTCAAATGGTCTAAAACTTATCTTGGCATTATAAATATTTTATATTTTATTCAGATGACGTAAAACTGTCCCGTTTATGCATAAGTCCGTTAGATTTCCAAACTAGCCTGTATATGTACTATTCCTGTTACTGGGGTTCTTTTTATTTCTAAACCTGTAGTGGCTCCAAGCTCCGAGGTACGTAGCTTCCAAGCTCCAAACAATCTCCAAGCTCTAGGGTATGTAGCTTCTCCAAACAAGCCCCAAGTTTTCAAGTAATTTTCGACATAGTTTCAAGCTCCAAGTTACGTAGCTTCTCTAAGCTCCAAGATCGATGCTTCCAAGTAATTTTTGACGAAGCTTCGAAGTAGTTTCCACGTATCTTCCAAGCTCCAAGTTTCCACGTAGCTTCACGTAGCTCGAAGTAGCCTCAATTAATATCGGACAGACTTCATCTACCTAGGAGACGATTTAACAGGGACGCTGTGTAATGTCATATGGTCGAAACAAGAAAAACAATTTTTATTAATATTCGAGTTCATTTAGTCATTCGAATCATTAATCAGTAATTCATTGTGTAACATTAACAAACTTTGCATTCATTTCATTTTCATTCTTTTCATTAAATGTATTAAATTTTCTCAATTTCTTTTATTTGCCTGAACTCGTAACAGATAACTTGAGGTACCAGAGACCGACTCAATGAAACAGGGCATGTAAAATCATAGTTTTAACTCAAAAACTTGGCGGCGCTCAACATTCTTTTGTCGTTATAGTACCTATTAAAGTATCTTTCATTTTTAACCGACTTCAAAAAAAGGAGGAGGTTATCAATTAGTCGCGATTTTTTTTTTTTTTTTCATGAGAAAATCCTCAAAGTCTTCATTTTTTATGTATGTTTAGCGATAATGCTTTACCACCTTGTCCGATTTATACGATTCTTTTTTTGTTAGTTAGGGTATACCTCAGGGGTGGTCCCATATAAATTTGGTTAAAATGTGGTGATGGCATCTGTACGTTTTTGAAG